CTGAATTTATTCTAGCTCTGATACCCAGGCAATTTACTTAACCTATTCAAGTCTCAGTTTCCTCAATCATCAGGTTAACAGTTCTACCCTCTGAGTTGTTTCAGAAATAAAATTAGTTAATATACATAAGATACTTAGTACAGTGCCAGCACAGAGTAAAGACTCATGAATGACATTACTGAGCTGAGCATTTATATACTCATGTTATTTGTTACGTTCTCTATCTGCAGTATCTGACTCCTGGTATCAAAATGCTTGAGGAGCTAATCAGAAAGCTTCTAGGTAAGCTTAGAATTAGAGCCAAAATATTTGGATGAATATTTTTTATTCAAGCAGGTGAAGTCTTGCCAATCATGCCTACCTCATACTTGGTATTTCATTGTGTGAGTTATTAGGTACCATTCTAGGCACTTAAGGAAGTACAAGTATATGCACAATACACCTAAGCAATTCTTTCCTGAAGACTCTAGAGATGAATAATGGAGAATGAATGGAAGGAATGGAAGAAAGGATTACAGAGAACAAAGAAGAAATTCAGATATGGACCATTTGGGTAAAATAATTTAGTTTCTTTTTAGGAATATATTTTTGCTCTTAGACTCCATTTTTACATGAAACGTTAAAAATGTTCACTTATGCCTGGCTGGTGTTGCTCAGTGGTTGAGCGTTGACCCATGCACCAAGAGGTCACCGGTTTGATTCCTGGTCAGGGCACATGCCCAGGTTGTGGGCCCAATCCCCAGTGTGGGGCATGCAGGAGGCAACAATTCAATGTTCTCTCTCATTGATGTTTCTATCTCTCTCTCCCTTCCTCTCTCTAAAATCAAAATAGAAAAAAAAATTTTTTAATGTTCACTTATAAGGAAGGAAGGGAAAGAAGAAAAGAAGGAAGGAAAAATGTCCACACACATACACAAAAAGTACAGGTACACAGAATTCCAAAATATTCTAAATACTCTAGGTTAGGCCAAAAAGAACCCATGCTCACATCAGGAAATTTAATTCTTCCTGAAGGCATTTAGATAAGAGTCTTATTTAAATTTAAGTTAAGGCTAGTTTCCTCCTTTTACTTCCTCTTTCCCATTTCCTTTCAACTTCCTTGTACAAGATCAGCTTTATCTATTCTTATGTCAGGCAACCAAACAATGCAAATGTAAGTATACCACTAAATCATACCTATTAAACACAATGGTTTCAGCCCAGCTGGTGTGGCTCAGTGGATGAGCATCGACCCATGCACCAAGAGGTTGCTGGTTCAATTCCTGGTCAGGGCACATGCCCAGGTTGTGGGCCAAATCCCCAGTGGGGGGGCATGCAGGAGGTGGCCAATTGGTGTTATCTTTCATCGATGTTTCTATATCTCTCTCCCTCTCCCTTCCTCTCTTTAAAATCAATAAAGAAAAAAAATTTTTTTAAACACAACATATTGGTTTCAAAGAGCACTGAAGCACATGATTAAAGCACATGATTGCATACTGAGTGAGAAAGTATCAACAAAAAACAGGAACCAAAAAGACCAAAATTACACTTTGGTTTTACAGAAGCACCTATTATAACTTAAAAAACACCTAGTTTTCAAGTTCTGTTCCTGCTCCCATTCCTGCTTCTGCTCTTCCTCCTTTTTCTTCTGTCTCTCTCTCCCTCCCTCCCTCTTTCTAAAATCAATAAAAACATATTTAAAAGAAAGAAAAATGCAACATTCATTTTCCAGGGAAGAGAGACACAATCTGGCAGACCTAGGTATGATATTTGCCTAAGAAGCAAGCGTGAGGTGGGGATGACTGGCAAGGCTTCACCTTGCCAGAATGAAATATTCACCGAAACCATCCAAAATTTTGGCTCTGATTTCAAGTTTGCCTAGAAGCTTTCTGATTAGATTCTCATATATTCTGATACCAGGAGTCAGATGCCACAGAGTTTCTGCATAAGTACTCAGGTCCCTGAAAAAGAATATCCCCCCCGCAGTAGATTAAAAGAGTGGCATTCTTGTTTAAACAAAAGGCACTACAGTGTACTGGTTAAGTATTCAATATTTGGCAGTATAATGGTTTCAAATCTTGATTATTGCTTACTTAATTTCTTTGTGATTCAGTTTTCTCATTAAATAATAATATAATACTTATTTCAAATGTTGTTATAAGGGTTGAGTTAATTCATGCAAAGCATTTGGCTGTCACATAGTGCTCAATAAAGAAAGCTATCATTTTTCATAATAATTATTAAATATCTATCATGATTTTGATTTGGGAATGAAAATCCAAGCATGATTAACCCTAAAGAAACTGTCATTTTAGACTATCAAAGAAGTACCACAATGTAAGGCCTCAATAGTCATGCAAGAATTCAACATGCATACAAGTGGGGCAAGGTGGCTTTAAAAGGAAGACAGGAGACAGGTTGTGAAGGGCTTTGTATACTACACCAAAAAGTCTGGATTTTATTTTATAAGCAACAAGGGGCCATCTCAATCCCAAAATTGAGATTTTTGACAATCTCAACTTTCAAAACATTGTTAACATAAATGTAAAACAAACTTTAAATCCAAGTTACAGAATTCACAAAATCAACAAGATGAGGGAATTCCAGAAAAATATAGTGATCAGTGATTTAAATATTTTAGTAGCAACACAACCTAAATTAAAATAAACCAAAATATCAGTCAATTTAAATGAGTGCATACAGTACATGCTGTTTCCTGGCTCCACAAACCTCTTCCTCTATTTGTTAGAGGCACTGGATCTATCTGTTTCAAGCCACTCCCCACAACAAAGAAAATACCAGTCCTTGTCATCTACTCCTCTGTCCATCTACAAACCTGGAAACAAAATATGGTCCTAGAGTAAAGTTCAGCACTCTTGGATGCAAGCAACATCATATATTATAAATACTAACTTACATATACATAATGCAGAGTACAAACAGAGTTAATAAATAGATTTCCAGAATGTTTAAGACATAGGAACCAAAGGAGGAAAAGAAAGTGCCTTAATTGGAGGGGGAAAGAAAGGCAGCGGATTTCACAAAAATCTCAGAGTATAAACACCTTTTTTTTTTCCTTTTGCTATTCTAATCTACTCTCACCTGGTGAAACCAAATAAGTAAATTTACTAAAACTGTGTCCTAATAGTGAAGGCCATAATATAGGGCTCACAGAATTTAAGTCCATTGGCCTTAGAGTTTAGGTAGTCCAATTTTCACTTTCTTTTAAAAATGAATAGATTAGGCCCCAAAGCAGTATTTTCCAAAGTACAGAACAAGAACAAGCTATGGTTTTAGCTGTCACATAAGCAACAGTTATGTATTTAATATTTACACATAACTATAATGTATATTAGAAAAAGGTATAAAATACATCAAAACCATGATTTCACTGATTATCACTTTGGAAGAGTGTAAGTTTTTAAAAGCCCATTAAAAATATGAAGTAAAATAATAACACAGATACTCTTCTAAAAGGCAAATTTTAGGATGGTGGTATATGATAAGTGAAGTACCAACAGCTGTCCCATGAGGAACAGGGCCTGTTTTCCTTTTGTTTGTTTAACTTTCTTCTTGGTTCAAAGTTGTGTTCTCAATGATTAGAAAATATGTGACCTCTACTTGAGTGAGCTTGTTCCTATGCTTAAATTCACTTAGACTAAAATCAACAAATACTAAGATGCATACAGAAATTCTGTTTATAGGAGTGTACTATTAAGAAAATCATAATAAGTTATTCCTATTCTGAAACTAAGATAACAGCAATTTTCTAGTGCATATCCACAGACAAGCACCTAACCAAACAACAAAAAACACCCTAGAAACACTGATAAATATTCAAACTGTAGATTAAATTATATGATCATTTTATTTACTTTCACATGACTTGTCAAAGGAGCATGGTAATGTGAGAAGAAGTGTTTCTCCTCATATTTGCCAATATTTACATAAATGTGTTCTTTCTCATTACCTCTTACCAAAAGAATGAATGACAAGTGATCACTGGATGCTTACACATCAATTTTGATGGTGGCAAAAATATTAATTTTTATAAATTTTAGTATGAGTTATTTTAAGATTCGATTATCTAAAGTATTCTAGCTAATGATGTCTCCTGAATTTCAAATGTGGTTATTTGGGCTGGACAAGAACGAGGAAGATTTTACTGGGACATCTGAAAACCAGTCTTAAAGGGCACCACACAGATGAAATAACATCGTTCCTAATTCTTGAAATATTTGCTACTAAGAAGCTACATTATTTTCACAAGTTTGAGGGAACACTGTCAGAAGCTGCTACTATCCAAATTCCCTTCTCCCAGTCGTTCCCCGCCCCACGCCCCAAAGGAGAGGACAAGTAGCAATAGGCAAAATAATATTCCCTTCTCATCTTCTTTTCCCAACTTTAATATCTTTCGGTTTCCTCTACCCTCACCTGCCTTTCCTAACATTGTGGTGTCTAATGACAATAAAAAGGAACAGGTGAAAACAGCACTTTCCAATACTTCAACCCCGAATTGTGGAATTCGTTTTACCGATCCCGTGTGTGTGTGTGTGTGTGTGTGTGTGTGTGTGTGTGTTCGTCTAGGATAAAGCCGGGAGGAAAGAATGGACTTTCCTAGAGAGCATGGACTCTCCAATGCCATGAACCTCAGAGACCTTCTTCCAACAACTAGATCAGAGTTGTCTGATCACTGTGGTCACCAGACAGGCTATTAACCCCTACTACAGCAACACGGTGGGGATGGGTGGTGAGAGAGTCGGGGTTTACCCTGGCCTGGTTCAAGGGAGGGTCCAGAAAATCACCATCCCACCACCCCTTCCTCCGCCAGCCCCTGGACAGTCTCCCAGCGCCTCGCGTCCTCGCTCCGGGCCCGACCCACCCAGGCGGGTCAGAACGTCCCCTAGTCCCCTAAAACCTGACCCCATCAACTTTTCAACCGTCATGATATACTTTTCTTCTTGGGGCGAATTCAATCTTCACCCTGGCCAGCTCCCTCAGTCCTACTCCTGGAGACTCACCAAACCGTTCCGGTCACTCGTCTCCGGCCGCGACAGCTCGAACACCGCCAGACCCTACTAGGCGCTCCGCCCTTCTTGCGCCTGCGCGCGCCTGAGTCGCACGCCTGCGCACTCACCCGGCGCAGTGGCCACGAACACACCCCTGCAGTGGGAGCCAATCACGGTTTAAATATCTCTTGCCACGCAGGCTGAGAGCTTGGGGACTCACCCGTTAACCGGTAACTGGAATCCCGCCGGCAGGTGGGAAGTGTTCGTGCAACAAACATTTAGTGAGAGCAAACTGTATGCCAGGCACTGTACGGTATGAACGGTGAGGAAAGAAGAAAAATGGAATGCCTTCCCTGCCCTCCAGGGTCTTTTGTCTAGACTGGGAAATAGATATATAAACAAATTGCAGTGGATAGAATATAGTGCGTAGCATATAGAAAATCCGAGACACCATTGGCGCACAATAAACATAACACCTTATTTTTAGGGGTGTCTGGAAGGGTTCCTGGAGGAAGTGACTTTTGAATCATTAAGGATAAGGAGTTCCCCCGGAAGTCCGGGAGGGTGGGAGGGCGGGCGATAGACTTTTACAGACTGTTCATTGGGAACATCTTATGCCAAGAATAACAGCGCTTTCTGGAAATTCTTTGTAGTTCATCCTGGTTAGAGGCTTAGAACTCATTATATATCTTCGGTTAAAGAGTGTATGTGTGTGTACATTTTTAAAAGTTGCCCATGTCTAGATCTAGGCATGTCTTGCATTTTAGACTAGTGAGTCTATTCTTTATACTATGACCACTGAAAGGTAGGAATGGAAGGGCTTTAAGCAGGTACGGGAATCCTTCCAAGCACCTCTAAGAATAAAGAACAGTGTTGGAAATTTTTTAAGGAGGGAAAGAGAGAGATTCAAAGAAGTAGTCTATTCCTAATGGGTCAATGAAGATGAAATGAGAAATACCTTTTGGATTTAGTACTATCGAGGTCATTGGTGATCTTAGTAAAAGTTATGTGGTAGAACGATGAGGTTGAAAGATAGATTGCAGCAGTTTGGAATGAGAGTAGATGCAGAAATGGGGGAAAGTCATAGAATGCTTTTGGAAAGCTTGCCTTTGACAGAGGAGGAAAAAGGACGCCGAGGCTGAAGTTTTTTGTTTGTTTCTAGGTTTTTTGTTTTGTTTTTAGTTTTATTAGAATTAAAACAGAAGAAACTTAAACATGATAGGGAAGATAAAAGTGAGAGAGTGCAGTTGAATAAAGAGAAGTGGGATCAGTGATAAAGGATCTTGAGATGGTAAGAGTAAAGACAATCCAAAGCACTGACAGGGAGAATGTTTTGGAAAACAGATAAAATACCTCCTCATTTATAAGAAGGAAGTATCTGTAAGTTTGTATGTTTTGTAACAGAAAGTTAAATAGTTCTTATTTGATGACCTCTGTTTTCTTTGTGAAACTGCTGATAGAATAGAGATTGGGAGGTTTAAGGAAAGTGGAAAGATTTGGAAGATTGTAGAAAGTGCCAGAACAAGTTGGCCAGATAAAAAAAAAAAAGTAATAGGACTAGTAAGCAGTTGAGAGCCTGAATACAGTTGGTAAAAATGATCTTACAAGTTCTGCTCTCCTATGAGGCTTTCTTAAGAAGTAATCACTTTTTGAGGATAGAATTGGAGAAAATGTGTGGTTGAGTTCATTTAGGTTTGGGATGGTAACTAGGATAATGCCATGGTTCTGAACCAGGAGTATTTTTGCCATCTAGGAGACTTTTGGCAGTGTTTGGAGACATTTTTAATTGTTGAGATGATGGGGGTGGGAGGGTGGGAGAAGATGTTAAGGGGGGGGGGGGCACTAGAGGCATCTAGTGTCCAGGGTTGCTGCTAAATATCCTACAATTCACTACAGCACAAGAATTATCTCCCCATTGCCAACAGTGCCAAGGTTTAGAAACCCTGATCTAGGATTACCTTGATGTTCACCAACAGCTGACCTTCGTCTTCTATAAATTTTCCCTTGGATTATGGCCCCCAGCTTATATGTAAAGCAGTTCTTCCATTGTATATCTTTAAAGGAGAGTAGGATAAGTAGCATACCCCAGACCTAGAGTGTTTCAAGGACTTGTGATGTCACAATTACAGAATTGGAATAGTTGCTCAATCCTCTGCTCACTTTGATTTGAGGTATTGAAGGTCTCGTTAAACATAGATATTATTAAAGGCTCAGTAATAATAGGAGTGACTCTTCACACCATTATCAACTTTATTTAAAAAAAAATTTTTTTCTTTATTGATTTTAGAAAGGGAGGGAGAAGGAGAGAGAGAGATGGGAACATCCATGAGAGAGAACATTGATTGGCTGCCTCATGAATGGCCTCCACTGGGGATCAGGCCCACAACCTGGGCTTGTGCCCTGACTGGGAATTGAACTGGTGACCTCTCAGTGCATGGGTCAACGCTCAACCACTGAGCCACACCAGCCGGGCGCCATTATCAACTTTAATGTAAATTGGTTTATCTGACTAAAATAGTATCCTGTGGAATGTGTGTGTAAGCTAAGTTTAATAATAAATATAAATACAGGAGGTATTAAGAAGAATATAATCATAGGTATTGATGGATTGTCTTCTCATTTAAAACTAGCAACAACCTGAGAGATAAGATTATCTTAATTTTAATTCTGAGGAAACTGAGGTTCCAAGAAAATTTGTAATTTTGCCCAAAGTCACAAATTAGTTCCTACGTCAATATTTGAAATCAGGTCTGTCTGTTTTAAAGCTTTTTAAAATTCCATTAGTAAATTTTACAAGGCAGGAGTGGTTGGAAATTGAGCTGAAACCGTTGCCATTAGCTAAAGGGATTGGTGGGGACTTAGGAAAAAGCAAGAGCAAGAGGGAGGCCCAGAAAAAAGTAGCCTGGGTGGCTGATCACAGGAGTGTCCGGGGGCAGCGGGCTAAGTCTTCTGACAGCTAGCCGGCCTTTCTCGGCGTGTTCCGTTCTTTTTGAGTAAAGCTTCTTTCCCTGTGTCCGTTGTTCACTTTCGTGTGTTCAAATAAAGCTAGAAAGGCGGACAGCAAAGGGGGAAGGAAAAAAAAAAAAAAAGAGCGCGAGGCGCTCTGCGCCTGCGTACTGGCGGCGGCGGCGGCAGTGCCGGGCGTGGAGTAGGTCCCGAGCGGGCCGCCGGACCCAAAACAGGGTGAGGGGGCGTCTGGAAGCTCCGTCGCCCGGGCCTCGGCGGTCTGATGGAGTAAGAAGGGTCGACTGTGAGTGTGAGTATCCAGGGGCCGGGCTGCGTTGAGGCGTATGGGAGCCTGAGGGGCCGGTGGTCTGCCCCTTAGGGAGGTTTGGGGCCGCAAGGCGCGGCCAGGTCAATGATCCTGCAGGCTGTGTGCAGGGGCAACCCGGTCGTCCCCTGTCCTGGAGCCTGCGGGGGTGTACGGGCCGCCGTGTTTCTGGCTTCGGGGTACAGATTCTCGGGGGGGGGGGGCGCGTACCAGCCTTGTTCTCCGCCCCGGCAGGGAACGTGGCTACAGATCCTTGACCTTTGGGGAAGGCCGCTGACCTTAGGACCCCCGTGCCGCCGGTCCACATGTCTGATGCTTAAAAGCCTACGGATCTCAGGCCAGGGACACCTTTCGACCTCTTGTAACTGACAGCCTCTGTTATTTTTTTTCTTCCTTATGTTTTTTCTTCCAGTGGCATGCATTTTAATAATGGAATTACGGAGCGTTTACTGTGTGTCAATATTTAGTGCAAATCTCGGTGCATAATTATGGAGAGAAAATGCTTTGCACCCTACTCTCCCTTCAGTCTACTCCATTTATTATCTTTGAGAGAATCATCTTTTGAGAGTCTGAGAAGTTTGAGATTTCCATGGCTCTTAGCAACTTGGGACAGCCATCCTAGTTCAGGGCAGGTTTTTCTCTTACCTAGCAAATGAGTCCTTTATTCACCATAATGGTTTATATCTAATTAACTCCAGCCAAAATAACTTTTTAGCACTTACTGAGAGCTAGTATTGTTCCAAATTCCATGAAAAATCTTAAAATTTGTTTTAAGCCCTGTTCTCAAGTTTTGCTAGTGAATGAAACAATGGAAGATAATATTTACATTCAATAAGAATTTATTTATTTAGATACACTCGGGTCTGTCACCAAAAATTAATGAGATATTGTTAGTGGAATGCGATTTGTTTTTGGAGCACATTTCAGATGCGGGCTGAGAGTTTGATGGTAATTTGCTCAAGCTAATTTAGCTAGGGTTAAGTGGTGAAACTCACATACAGTGCCCAAGCTTTTTTCTGCTACTCCAAGTTAGTTATACTAAGTACTGCTGGGAAGCAACTACGTTACAGTTATAGTTTCTTGAGTTAACTACAGGAGTCTAGAAAATGGTAGGAGTCTTTAATCAAGGATTCTAGATGGTTTTTTAAAGAGAACTTAAAAGTGTTTTGGAAGGAGGTAGAAAGTATGTAGGAGTCTGATCAGATTAGTTCAGGACCAGTTGTTTTGATTAAAAGAAAGATATTTGAAAAGGAAAAAACTGAATGGTATTACTGTACATTTAAGTTAGATCATATATAGTCTGAAGGCTACTGTACAAGAAGAAAAGCAAGGAATAATGGTAGATGTTAGCTGTCTTGGTTTTGGGACAGCTGTGGCTCAGTGACAAGTACACATATTTTATAATTTGTAATTGTGGTATCCAAGTGGGAACTTTGGGATTAATTTGTGTACTCAGCGAATAAGAGGACCTAGGCAAACAAGTTATATATGGATGTCCAATTGCACATCCACCACGCTTAATTTCTAATTGAAACCTTAAAATCAATTAGGTTTTTTCCTTAATTTTTCATCTGAAAGAGACTATCAAGAAGTGAGAGTTCCTAAGTGATGAATCAGTAGTGGATTGGTTAAATAAATATGCATCTGTTAGAAAGAATGAGCCAAGATTCCGGTCAAGATAGCAGTATAGGTAAATGCCATACTCTAATCTTCCCACAACCACATCAAACTTACAACTAAACAACAGAACAACCATCATTCAGAACCACCTGAAATCTAGCTGAACAGAAGTCCTACAACTAAGGATATAAAAAAGAAGCCACATCAAGAATAGTAGGAGGGGTGGAGATGTGGAATGGGCTGTCCCACACCCATGTGTGGCAGATAAAAATCGGGAGGGCATCCTGGCCATTTTGGCTCAGCAGTTAGAGCGTCAGCCTGTGGTCCAGAGAGATCCCGGTTTGGTTCCCACTAGGGGCATGTACCTCATGCAGTTTGTCCCCGGCCCTCAGTCCTACGGGTGGCAGCCACTCGATGTGTCCCTTTCACGTCGATATTTCTCTCTCTCTCTCTCTCTCTCTCTCTCTCTCTCTCTTCCTCTCTCTGCCCCTCTGCTCTGTCTGAACAAAAAAATGGGAAAATGTCCTCAGGTGAGGATAAAAAAAATCAGGAGGGAAATCTGGGCTGTTTAAGTTCCCCCTGAGGATCGAGGGGTCCCAGCCCCACACTAGGTCCCCCGCAGGGTTCTAGTGTTGGGAAGAGAAGTCCCCATAACTTCTGGCTGTAAAAACCAGCAGGGATTGTGGCTGAGTGAGATGGAGGGCGGCTGGAGACTCGGGTTTCTCTTAAAGGGTCTGTGCACAGATTTACTTAGACTCACTTGCTCTGCGCTTCAGTGCTGGGACAGCAGTTTGAAAGGCATCAGGGACATACAGGGAGGAACTGAAGTGTCTGGCATCAGGGTGAGAGCTGGAGGGGCAGCTTTCTCCCAGACAGAAGTCAGAGGCCATTGTTCCTTTTCTGAGCCCTCCCTCACAGAGCCTACTGGCTAGCACCATATCTGAGTTTTCATCAACCTGGCCCACATTGTTAGTCCTGTCCTGGTGATTCCCTGATACCCTACCCCACCCAACTTGTGGGCCCAACCCAACCCCTGACTCTTCCACACAAATGGCCTATCTTGATTCATGCTCTCAAACAAGCAGCATCTGGCCCTGTACCTCTCATTAAGTTTTCCCAGGCCAGGCACTAGGGGTAGCCAGCCTTTGTGCATAGTTTGGCTTCCCATGAGCATCCCCAAGCCCAGAACAAATAGCAGCCATCTGCAGATCACTTTGTAGCTCATGCCAGGTGGCCCCAGGCAGGGCATAGGTGGTGACTGACCTTGGCCTGCACCTCCCAGGAGGTCTCAGAGTCAGTGCACCTGATGGACAGCTTTAGACTATCTTGAAGCACCACCCAGCCACCTCCACAGGTGACATACTCAGTAGGCACCAGAGTCCTACTGAAGTAAGTCCTGCTCCATGGGGTCAACCCTGCACAGCAGATCCTCCACAGTGGTTGTCACAGCCAGTCTTGACAGCCTATCAGTCTGGGGTAAAGTCCTCCCATTGACCTGCCAATAGCTATCAAGTTCAACTACAAGCCCACACAGTGGAGACTTAGTGGCAGTGCACCTGGAATGCCCAGCTCAGGTAAATGGAGAGGCTGTGCCACTGGACACTATGGGACACCAACTACATAAGGCCACACTACCAAGCCTGGGAGACTTAGCAGCTCTAACTAATACATAGAAACAAACCCAAGGAGGCTGCCAAAAAGACAGGACAAAGAAACATATCCCAAATGAAAAAACAGAACTAAACTCCAGAAAGAAAGAAAAAAAACTAAATATAATGGAGACAAGCAATCTACCAGATGCAGAGCTCAAAATACTAATTATAAGGATGCTCCATGAATTAAGGGGGAAAGTTCATGAATTTAGTGAGAACTTCAACAAAGAGATAGGAAACATAAAAATGGCTATGGAAAACGTAAAAAAGAACCAGTCAGAAATGAAGACTATGTTAACTGAAATGAATACATTGCAGGAAATCATGCCCTGGCCAGGCAACTCAGTTGGTTAGAGCATCTTCCTGATATGCCAAGGTTGCAGATTTAATCCCTGGTCAGGGTACATAAAAGAACCAACCAATAAAGGCATAAATAAGTGGAACAACAAATCAATCTCTTCTCTCTCTCTCTCTCTCTCTCTCTCTCTCTCTCCCCCTCTCCGTCTCTTCCTCTCCCTCCCTCCCACCTCCCCCCTCTTCTCTAAAGTTAAAAAAAGAGTACATTACAGAGAATCAACAGTAGAGTAGAGGAAGCACAAGATCAATTAAAGAATTAAAAGCATGGAAGATAAGGAAGCAGAAAATACCCAATAAGAACAGCAAAAAGAAAAAGGAATAAAAAGAAAGGAGGACCATATAAGGAGCCTCTGGGACAACTTCAAGCATAGCAACAGCATCATGGGGGTGCCAGAAGGAGAGAGAGAGAGAGAGAGAGAGAGAGAGAGAGAGAGAGAGAGCGCAAGGAATTGGAAACCTATGTGAGCCTGACTGGTGTGGCTCAGTGGATTGAGCATCACTCCATGGACTGAGAGATCCCAGTTCAATTCCTGGTCAGGGCACATGGGGTTGTGGGCTCTGTCCCCATGGGGGATGTGCAGGAGGCAGCTAATTGATGTGTCTCACTCACATCAACGTTTCTCTCTCTCTAAAAAATCAATGAAAACATTAAAAAAAGAAAGAAAAAGAAAACCTATGTGAAAATATAATGATGGAAGACTTCCCTAACTTGATGAAGGAAATAAACATACAAGTTTAGGAATTGTAGAGTCCCAAACAAAATGAACCCAAAGAGACCCAAGACATATCATAATTAAAATACTAAAGGTGAAGACAAAGAATCTTAAGAGAAGCAAGAAAATAGCAGTTAGTTACCAAGAGAATTAATTGCTAGCAGGTCTGCTCTATAAGAAATGCTAAAGGAAGTTTTTCAGGCTGAAGGGAAATGATAACCAGATGAAAACTTAAATCTTCATAGTGTAATGAAGAGCACCAGAAATGGTAAATATCTGGATAAATATAAAAAAGGTTTGCCTTTAAAATTTTTGAAACTATATTTGACTGTTTACATTTTTTAAAAAGAAGCATCATCTTGTGGAGTTCGTCGCATAGTGTAGATATAAAACATATACCATAAAGCATAGAACGGGAGGAGGGAATAAATGGACCTATATGATTGTGAGATTACATGAAATGGTACATTATTAACACTAAGTACAATGTAAAATGATAAGGATGTATATTGTCATTCCTATAGCAAACACCATGGAAAAAATAATGCAAAAAACTGTTGCTTAAAAGCTAGTATAGATATTAAAGTGACTAATCCAAATGACAACAGAAGCAGAAATACAGATGGAAAAATTGGGATAAAAA